CCAAATATGCATTTCTTTGAGAATTTTTTTTTTTTTTTTGCCAGTTTCAGTTCTTTTTTTTAGAAACAAACAGCACAATGTCTAAGAGTTTCTTTCTTGACGGAATTGGGGGATATATATCTAGCAAACTGTTGAGCAGTTAGTCTCATGTGATTGAGAGTTGAACAAGAGTCATCTTTGAGCTTTGAAAAGAACGTGCAAAATGGTTCAAAATGTGTTTGTATATTTCTCAAAAATATGAGCAACTAATGCCATCTGTTAACCCAGATCTGAATAAATAATTAAACATCACAGAAAAGCCAAAGTGAAACCATGAACAGGAAAAGAGCGGTTGCACAGTTAAATAAACGAAAAATATGCATTCCCGCAGAAATCGCGGGTTGCACAAATTTTGCTACTTCTTTGTTGCCCGTGGAAATCACGGGATACGCAGCAAGAGTGTTAATACAATGAAAAGTTAAAAGAATGAGCACTCATGATATATTGCAAAATATTTATCAAGTTCTCATTTTCAGTTATGATTTCTGTTCTTTTATTAAAAATTACAATCTTCTTTTAATTTTATTAGTAGATAATATACCAAATACCTTGCTGTAAAGGAGATGGAAGAAATCTCTTATACATTCAGATTTAGTAATAGCTTTTAAAGCAAGGATGTCGAACACGCGGCCCGCGGGCCGCATGCGACCCACAACAAATATTTTTGCGGCCGGCCAATATATTGGCAAATAATAATATATAATAATAAAATAACATATCGACGAAGAAAAAAATTAAATGTTTACTGCTAAGTAATTAACGATAATTTATTCAGTGTTGTTAGATTGCTCACAACGAGCTGACACACACACTACTTAAATTACAAATGCATGTGAGTAGCTTGCGTTCAGCTACCTTCGGCTTTTGGGGGACATGTGCACTCAGAACTTGTACACATCCCCCGATAGCCGAATGTGGCCGAACTCATGGTCTCAGTTTTCCAATCATAGTTTTGTACGAAATATTGGTGCATGCATGTGCATGCACTTTGCTTTATTATTAATTATTACTTAATTCATATTGTTACGGATTTCATAGTTATTTATTTATTTAGTTTTTTTTATTTAGAATTGTAATTAGATTTGCTTCATGTTGCCTTAGCAACGCAGACGATTTTTGAAAAGACAGCTGCGTTGGAAGGTTAAAAATAGAACAGCGCGTGCATTTAATACCTAATAAATAAATATCTCGTAATTGCTGTTGCCATCCACAAAAATCCAGATATTTATAGATGTTTCCAGTATATTCGAGAAATTAATTATAAAGCTTATAAAAGCCGAGAACAAACAACTCATCTCAGTAGTAGCTGTAGTTCTAGCGAACTGTTTGTTTACTTAATGCTGTGATTGATTTGTAGCGATTTCGCTGTGAGATAGAATTAGTTTTTCTGTTTTGAATTGATTTTTGCTAAACGTTTGACATTTTGTGATATTGTTAGAATATTTTTGAAGAAATATTTCAGCATTTTGATTTATCTCTTGTGGAAAGAATACATTTTTGTTAACTTTTTAACGTTAACCATGTTAATTCCAGCCCTTTGTATTCAGTATGTCTATATCAAAACCAAGTGGTAGTAAAATTAAACGAAAAATCGCTGACGAACATAAAATATTCCAAGTAAAATGGGAATTAGAATATTTTTGCTGTGAAATAAAAGATAAAATAATCTGCTTGATATGTAATAATACTATTAATGTACCTAAGTTATATAATATTAAACGTCATTACGAACAACACAAATCGAAATATAAAAATTACGAAGGATTAATGAGAGAAGAAAAGTTGAAAGAGCTCAAGTTAGGAGTGAAAAAGCAACAGTGCATGTTTAGTAAAGTATTGCAAGAAAGTAAAGCGGCGGTACATGCAAGCTACGTCTTGTCCGAGTTGATAGCTAAACATTCGAAGCCTTTTACTGACGGTGATTTCATCAAGGAATGCCTAATGAAAGCTGGAGAAATTGTTTGTCCTGGAAATGTGAAGGCTTTTCAATCAATTTCATTGTCTCGAAATACAGTTGCGGAAAGAGTTACTGATTTAGCCGCGAATTTAAGTGATCAGATCAAAGCAAAATCATCTAGTTTCGAAAGTTTCTCCATTGCCTGTGACGAGAGCACGGACATTAGTGGCAAAGCTCAATTAGCAGTGTTTTTTCTTCGTTCTTGTGACAAGAATTTTAACATTTTTGAGGAATTACTGGAACTAATACCGATGCCTGGTACTACCACAGGAGAAGATATATTTACTTGTGTTTTGGACTTCTGCAGAAATACAATCTACCTTTGGCAAAATTAAATTCTGTAGCTACAGATGGCGCTCCATCAATGACCGGGAAAAAACAGGGCTTCGTAGCATTACTAAGAAAAAAACTTAGTGAAATTCACGGTTCAAACATTCATCATATGCATTGTATTATACATCAAGAAGTTCTATGCACGAAAGTAATAAATATGGAGAATGTTTTGTCATATATAAAAAAAAGTTATAAATTTTATAAGATCTCGAGGTTTAAATCAGCGTCAATTCACTGCTTTCTTAAGTGAGTTAGATAGTGAATATTCGGGTTTGTCCTACTATACCGAGGTACGTTGGTTATCTTGCTCCAAGATTCTCAAACAATTCTGGGATTTGAAAGAAGAAATATGTCAGTTTTTAAAAACGAAAAATCAAGACGTAAGTTTGTTTTACGATCCAATATGGATACAAGATTTATCTTTCTTGGTTGATATAACCAAACACTTAACCGATTTAAATTTATCGTTACAAGGAAAAGATCATATCATTACGAACATGTTTGACATAATTAAAGCATTCAAATGTCAACTAGTTCTTTGGGAAAAAAAACTTAAAAATGAAGATTTGACGCACTTCCCGACGTGCAGCATGAACAAATCAAGTTTAGATGATACTTGTTCGTATCAAAAATACGCAGAAAAAATTGCAAATTTAACAACTGAATTTGAAACGAGGTTTAATAATTTTAGTTCCCTCAAAGACAAAAAAAATTTTTTTTTTTTTTTCTTTGATTTTTCTCAATAAGTATTGACTCAGTACCCAGCCATATGCAAATGGAGGTGATCGAGATTCAATGAAACTCAAATTTGAAAGCAAAATTCATTGAAGTGGGCGTGCCTGAATTTTACAATTATTTACCAGCCAGGTTTGAAAATGCTCAAATTCGCATATGAAATTATTTCCATGTTTGGTAGCACTTATCGGTGCGAGCAGTTATTTTCAGTCATGAAAGGTAATAAGTCTCCTATTAGAAACCGTATTAATGATGCTCACCTTGGGTCAGCGTTGAAAGTTATCACTGCAAACAAAATTTCTCCCGAAATAGGAAAGATAATAGCAGAGAAGAGATGTCAAGTATCAGGATGTAAACATTAAATTTTTCTTGTTCTTTTCTATATAAATATATATATGTTTATTATTGTATTATTCGAAATAAATCTACGTTTCCATAATTTTTTTTTTTTTTTTTTTTTTTTTTTGAGGCCCGCCTAAAGTTAAACCTTGTTTGTTTGGCCCAAGTGTACCTATGAGTTTGACATCCCTGTTTTAAAGTATTTCTATGTTATATATATATATTGATAGCATATGTGTTGATCCATAATGAACTGCAAACTTGGCAACCAAGGCAGATTAGAAATTCATTTTGAGTTCAGTTGACATCTGTATCCACAATTCACTTGGCACTCTAATCATGCCTATTTCCAGAATATTTACATTTTTGATATTGTTGCAATAGAAAGAAAGCAGCATGACAGTGTCTTAGCGGCAACAGAGGTAGAAGCAATGTGCATAGTTATCCAATATTGAAACTTATTATGAGAAAGTTTTTAGTTCTGGGAATTTTGGTTTTAAAATTAGCTACATCATCATTGTGTAAAGTATAGAAAGGGGAAATGTCCAAATTAGAATGAAGAATAAAGGAACTGTTGCAAAATTAAAATTAGTAGTTTGCTCTCACATTTATCTTTTATATATTTGCTTATATGTATTCTAGATAAAAGAAAGTATTTGATAATATGAGCTTTCTTACCGACAAACAGTAAAAATGTATAAAAAATGTCCTTTGTTTATTTCAGAATATGTAATTTAGTAAACAAATTTATAGTTCTTCTCTCATGCTGCTGTAATGCACAGAGTATCTTCTACTGTATTGAATGTAAATTCTAGATTTAAATTTTACGATATTTAAAAGCATGGAATGAGCAGGTTACTCATTCCATGCTTTTAAATATCGTGCTCATTCCATGCTTTTAAATATCGTAAAATTTAAATCTAGAATAATCTTTGCTCTATATTTATTATTGTTCCCATGTCTATCATTTTCTGAACTATAATTTTTACTGCTATAATATCTTTGTAAATATAACTATAATATCTTTGTAAATCTTATTCTCAAAGTGGGTCATTTTAAAGTTTTTTTTTATTATTATTATTTTTAGGGGTCCAGAATTGCTATTAGTCTTAAAACAGTATTTTGCATCAAATCACTATAAATGGCTGTATCACTTCTCGAATTGTTGCCACCAAATATTACTCTCCTATATTATATTTAAAGAAAGAAAGTAATTAAAAATCTGAATGAATGTATTAATGTTTCTCGATGTAGACCATGAGTATTAACAATCATGAAAAAGATTTCAGCAAAGTCATTTTAAAATCTTTAAAAAAAAGCTTTTTTAATTGAATGTGGTTTATTCATTTTGAAACTAATGGTCCCCCCCCCTCCTCAGTATGTTACTTATTTAGAATGTGTAATGTGTAGTTGTTTGCCCACAATCATCATTTTTCTCTTCTGCCTTGCAAATCAAAATTTTACTGTGTTCTTCTTGTGCACATGCATATAATAAATCTTGCAAAACTGAGAAATCTTACTTTTTTACTTTTGACTATGTATATATTTTTCCCTTTTTTTTTTTTTTTTTTTTTTTTTTTTTTTTTTTTTTTTTAAGCCTAACCGTACATATTACTTGGAAGACTCGGAGGGATATGCATTGAATTGGTGTAAAGCAATAGAAGAAGTTCGTAAAGCAACATATGCACAAAGCTCTTAACCTTAGTTTTTAAATAGCAATACATTTTCAAATTACAGGGACCCTCATATCTTCTGTATATTTAAAGACTATTAGAACTGTAAAAGTTGATTGTTTTATTAAATTTATTAAGAACTGATGCTCACATGCATGGTATTTGTGAGTATCTGTTTTTCAGTGTGTAGTTCTTTTGGTGATTATTTATTGACTGTGTACCTAATTTCAGTTCTTTGCCTTCTGTCTCTAGAAATAACTGAAAACATAACTACACCCATTAGTGATCAATTGTACAATGAATTTTAATTTATTGTTTTATTTATGAATTATTTTAAAATTTATAAAGTAAAAATTGTGGAAATTCAAAGCAGAATTAGTGTAAATCTGTGAATTTTGAAAATATATGCTTTTTTTTTTTTTTTTTTTAATGTTTGTAACAGAAAATGTTTCACCATCTATATAAATTTTGGTGTTGCCTTGGTAAAGCTAAATTATAATTATTAAAATGTGTTTAATCTTGATTCTTGTGCCCTCTAAGCATGTATAATACACAAGTGAAGCTAATGTGTAGCCATAAGTTATTTTAATAGTTACATTTTGTGGAAAGTCAAAAAATTAATAATAATTTTCATTGTAAAAATTTCAGTAAAAGATACTGAGAAAGAATAAATTCAGTAAATAATATTTTAATTGATAAGGAGGCAAGTTAAGAGTGAAATTGTGCAGCTTATTAGCAGAGAAATTTTTATCTTTGTTGTAATGTTTTTAGTAAACTAACTTGCACCAATGTGTATACATATATATAAAAACTCATAAATAATAAATGAAAACTATTGATAGTATTAAAATAATTTTAAACAATTTCCATTTTCTTAATTAATAACATTGTTTTATGGTCTAGAATGTGCATAGTGCTACTTGTTATTTTAAGTCTGAAAGTTGAAGAAAACATTCAGTCTTAAAAGTTAAAACAAATTTTTATTTATGTAATGGATATATGTTACTTTAGTGACTTATTGAACTTTTCCAAAAATGTATTGATTAATAATTATAATGATTTAATTAATACTTTGTTAATAACTAAAATAGTGCATTCAAAAAATAAATATTCTTTCAGGGGACTCGAAAAAATGAGTTTCCTAGAATATGAGAAAATGGCTGAATTACTTGTAATTTAATTATTTTTTGGAGCACAAAATCTTTGCAAAGTAATATATTAGGATTTAAGGGATGAAATAGGTTAATGGACTTTTGTTAAATATCAAAAAATTATTTGCTATAGTTATGTTAATTTTTATTAAAATGAAATTTTCTGAACTAATGTTTCAAATGAATTTGAGAGAATTAGTTGTGTATTTTTTAACCATCTGAAGCAGTTGAAATTATTTGCTGTGCTTTCTAGTTTTATTTAATAGTTTTGATTTGTTAAAATGTTTCTACCCAATGAAAAGTAACTGTAATTTGTTCAGTTGTAGTTTAAATGATTTTCCACTTTCTCCTTTTCTATTTTTTAGTGGAAGAAAGCATAATTATGATCCTTTTCATTTTAATACGGTGAAACTGCATTTTTTTTAAAAAGTTAAACCAATTTTCAATTTTGTTTTGTGTTGTGTGCTTTCATTTATTTGCATAGATACCTTCCTCTTGGAATTTTCCAGAATAAGTAATGTGGCTGTAACATATTTAAATTTAATGTAAGCAGTTTGTAATTGTGATATTACACAAGTTTCTTCTTCATGTCTGTTACTTTTAATCATTAATGAGAGGAAAATGTTGTTAATAAGTGATTTGTTCTCTGAAACTGAGTCATAATTATGAATTCTTCTAAGGAGAGTTTAGAAACATTGTGTAAAGATTATATTTTTTTGTAGTGAAAACTTATTTGTTTTTTCATGTAGCATATAAGTATATTTCACAAACATATATGCATGCAAAAGTTTTTCTGTACCTGTGGCAAGTGACATCTATTTTGGGATTTGTGCAGAATTTTTTATTTCTGTTTCCTCTTGTTTTCATTTTTCAGGTTTTTCTTGTTTACATGCGATTTTGTGTTCTCTATAAACATTATGGATGCTTTTCAATTATTTATCTAATTATTTAAAACCATGTTTGTAGCTAAAAAATTAGGTATTATTGTTGAAGTTGCACACAATAGGGATGAACAATTTTATGTCAAAAAACTGATACTTGAAGCTATTTCACTTAAGTTCAGGACTGGCTTTCTGCTACCTTTTTGTCATGTCAGTGTCAAAAATTGGTTGTAATTGGTTAAAACTGGGTGAAGTTAAGGAAAGCATTTATAGTATTATAATTAGTAGTGTTATTAATAAGTACATCACTTTAAATGCTTTGGTTAATATTTATACTATATTAATTGTCAGAGATTGCCATTATCAAGTTAGAGAGAAAATTATTTGAACAATTCAAAATGGTTATAGGAATAACCATAATGAACCTGTAGTTGTTGTAAGTATTCATGTTAGTCCTGAATATATTTTCTGTAATTCCATAAATATGAGGTCTGAGAAAAAGGACTGACACTTATTGTTCACAAAAGTCAATGAAATAATAAAAATAGAAAAAGAATACAAGTGTAATAGAAAAGCTGTTATAATAAATAATGAGCATGAAGTGGACTTAATAAGAAAAAAAGTCCCTTTATAATTTCTTAGGCCTTTTTTTATGAAGCATATGATATTTGTTCAGAAATATTTGAGAACTCGTCACTGACAAGCTGAATGGTTCAAGGAATATCTAAATGCTGTAAAATCACGTATACACAATAATACCAGATGAAACAGCCTAATAAGTTGTCTAGAATCATTTGTAAGTCCATATTACTTACAAATACTTAAAAATTGCAAAGCATAGAGCTTTGCAAGCATTGCATCACAGAGATGAGAGAGGAGTTGTTGAAGTAAAAAAATATTATTGAAGAAATAAATCACATTTGCTGCAGTTAAAACCTGTTGTTGCATTGGATTAAAATCTTAAAAGATGATTGTTATACTGTCAGTGCTTGTTAAATATGGTCAGCAGTAATGGTCGATGAACACTTAAAATAAACTCAGTCAGGCAATAATTCAATAGCATATGCTAGCTTATGTGTTTTATCTAATCGGTGAGCAGTAAAAATAGGGGTAACAAAAAGTTAGAACATTATTTTATGATATAAATGAACATTTTATGCTTTACATCAGAATATGTGAAATCATCTCTTATTTCTTATTCCTGAACTGAAATTTTTTAGGCTCTTTAGATTCTAAATGGAGGTCTAGTTTAAAGGAAACAAAGGCAACATGAAGATTTCATAATTCTAGTTTGCATAGTAGTGATATTGTCTAGAAATATTGTTGGACTTGAAAGAATATTCTTCACTTCTCCTTTATTCATAGTAAACTGAGAAATTCTTTGGCTATTTTAACCAGCCGTTAAAGTGTGATAGACTGTTCCAGGAAAAAGAGTAGACTGAACTTGAATGCTGATGTGTAATCTTTGAATAAATATTATTAAACATAATATCTGAATTTGTTAACATTATATTTGAAAATTTGTATTAAAAATATATTCCTCTCTATTATTTATAGTATTTTGATGTATTTTTGTTTATTTCATGAGTTTTAACCAATTACTGCCACTTTTACAGAAGAAATTAGCTTTTGTGAAACTGGTTTAACTTGTTATAACCAGTGGTTTTAATCACTTTGGCACAAACTTGCTAGTCCTAAATTGATGAAATTTACTTCTGGAACTTACTTGAAACTGATTGCTGTGACAATTATTTTCTCGTAATTTGTAATTATGATATATGTTTTCACTCCAAGTTTTGCAGTATAAAAAGTATTTTCTGACTTTATATTTTACTAGTCCTTCTTACAATTTTTAAAGTTATTTTTGTATTTTTATTTAATCATTCGTATATGGTACAAATACTTCATATGTAGCAAAATGTTTATACTTCTGTGTTCAAAAAGTTTGCGAAAATGCTTATACAACACATTTGTTGTAAATGTGAAAAGCTACTGGCAAGTGACTGCACCTTTCAGAACACATACATTTTCTCTGTTGTTCCTTGTATTCATGGAAGCACTGAGAGAATACTTTGTTTGGTATATGTCATAGGAATGGTCATATATCTTGTTTTGAATAGCTTGTCTGAAAACATTGATTTAAAAAAAAAAACTATTTCAATAAGAGAGAAGAGCTAGGTCAGAAGGGGAGTAATCTAGCAAATAATCTAAATATGTCATGAGAAGGATGCATTTCTGATCAAAAAAACCTAATTCCAATTTATTCCAATGTCCTTTAGCAAAAAATGTTCAAAGCATGTTTAAACTCCATTTGCAGTATATTATATAATTATCCTGAGCATTAATTCAGTGTTAAATTTTAGCTTACATGCTTGTTTTATTTCAGATAATTTCATAAAATTTTCACAAACTATTTTTAAAATTCCTTGTCATTGTACAATTTAAATCTGTTATTTTACACCACCCACCAGTTATTTTTAATGGGAACTTGTGTAATTTTAGTACTATCATATGTAAACTGTTCGCTATTAGAAAAAAATGCTGGATAAAATACTTCATTCTGTATGTAAAGAATATAAAAATCAAACAGAGAAATATTAACTTTTTCACGGGGGCTCGAAAGTCTGTTTCCTATATTTGCTGTGGTCTCGATGAAATGGAAGAAAGAAAAGCTAATCTTAGAGCAATAATTTAACAAACAAGAATTCAGTTGCTCGTGTATTGTTATTATGAAAAACTATTCAACTGATTCTCTATCTTATCTTTCTGCACTGGTTAATTGGACAGTAACTTCCATAAATTTATCCATTTCCTCTTCATGTTAGGATTTCTAGAGTTTTTGCAATAAAACTTATAGCTGTATTTCTTTTTCAAAACAAATATATATTAATATTGAGGATTTAAGGAGGGGAAAAAGAAAGAAAATTTTTCATAGCATTATTGAGCTTTAAATTTTTAGAAAATTTTAAGCAAATATATTTTTCTAAAAATATTCAACTGAAAAAAAAAAACTGATAAATGACAATCGAGGGCATAAAAGCATATAGGTCATTACTATTCCTTACTTAAAAGTTATTTGATTTTGAAAATATGCTCCCAACTGCTTTTGTTAGTATGTGGTTCCAGTTAATATGAGAAAAATAAAATTGCTTAAATTTGATTTTTATGTAAAGAACATTATTTGCTTTCTAAATATTTAAAGCTAAAAGCATATTATACACATGCATGTTTCAGTTGCATGAATTAATATTTTTCTACTTTCTCTCCCTTTTGTAACTAAAAACATTTTATAACAGTTGTATTTATGAAGGTATAAATTCATTTTTTCCTGTATTTATAAACCTGTAAATTCATTACTTTGAAGATTAAATTTATTATTCAAATAAATTTAATCTTCAGAATATGTCATAAATTAAAACTTTCTTTAAACATAATTATAATGTTATTTAGTTGCCTTTTTTTGGCGATGAAATGTGCTTGATTTAGCAAATTAAAATTACTGTTAGTATATATGAATTGCAGTAATATAATGTAATATCTCTAAAATAATAAGAGAGGTTTTAAAAAATTGCCCTTTATTGATTGAAAGTAGATTTTATGAATCATGCTATCTTTTCATACGTATAAAGAATTAAGATTAATCATGGATGGATAGAAAAAAGTTCATGCATGAATAAAACCACATTAAATGAAATCATACATAAGTGGGAATATTTTATCATTTCTAAAATAATCCTAAAACAACCTTTTTCAAAACTAAATTAATTTAAATTAATTTAATATTCAGTTTTTTTTTTTTTTTTTTTTTTTTTTGCAGGTTATGTGTAGATGCATAAATTTGCAGCAGTTATTCTATTACTATAAAACAATTAACAATGCTGTGTATGTATGGAATACAAAAAATATAGCAGTATTCATTAGTTTTTATTTTATCATTGCTATTGGTGACATTTTAGAAATTTTGCAAAGGCTTTACTTAAAAGCTTACCCAATACAAATCTGTATATTCAGATTTGAATAATATAAATATAAAAATGCATTTATTTTAGGCATTATTTTACCTTTAATATTTGATTCTATTAAGTACAGAAACTTTAACACGAGTATCTAAATATGGCTGTAAACAACATCTTTGACTAAAAGAAAAATATAGAAAGCAGATTAAAAGATCAGAAGGAAGCAAAAAATCCCCCCCGATTAAAATGCAAGAACATCTACAAAAACAAATTGAGAGATTTGAAAACCAATTCTAACAAAGGAGGCTAATTTACATTTTTTATAAAATAATTCTCAAGCCTTAGGCATTATTTTCATTTCCTCCTCCCATTCCAGTAGAGGAAATCTATTCCATGTTACCACTAAACTGCAGTATCTCAAAGCATATCTGTCCCAGCTTCCCATATACATTACATTAAATTTTTCAATCATATTATTAAGTGCATTTGCTTTCTCCCTACTTTAAATTTGTGTATAAATTTTTTATGCTGTTATTTTGAATGTGCAGTAAAATTTCTGTTGTATTACATTCCTTTTCCATCCCAATGAAAAAAAAGAAGGATGTCAATATTAATTCATAGGTAATAGTACTTTCGTATATGATATGTTTTTAATAAAGTTCTTTGTTTAAAATTTCTCCTATTTATAATCATTTTATAAAACAGCTCTTTTTTCTTGTAATGTACAAAAGTGTGTTTCAGTGTTAAGCTATGCAATTTATTCCTTTACAGTAACTATTTTACCTTAAGACTAATAAAAAATAGGTTGAATTGTAATATTACTGCTGTTGCTTTATCTACCTTCCCCCCCCCTGTTTATTACAACAGTTTTGATTGAAAACCTTATTATTGTGTGTTTTTTCATGCAAAAAAGAAGAAACTAAAATATTATTTTTTCTTTGGAATTGTACAATACATTTTATGATGTTGCAGATATTCTTACATGTATGGTATTATTATTTGATAATCATAAAACTTCATGCTTAATTTTCTTTTAAAATGCAAATATATTATCATTCTAAATTCAGATATATTTTCAAAGAAATGTGCATAAGAGCATAATTAAAAGGTAGTATCTCCTTCCATACCATGTTTTCAGAGTCTAAAACTAAAAAAATAATATTTCATATTAAAATAATGATAATAAGTATAGAAAAACCTAACAAATTTCTTGCTATTATCTGCAGTTGTAAAACTAGGCATTTTTTGCATGACCAAAATTCATAAATGGAACAGTATTATGAATAATAATTCTCATTAAGCTTTAAAATCATATTTAAAGCATTAATATGAAAAAAGTATACATATAACATGAAACTTAGAAAACCTGCGTGGATAATATAATACTCACACTATACTTTCTGACATGATGTGCACAGAAATAGTGAACATGAACTAGCAAAATAAAGTTTCCCACTGTTTTATTTGTTGAAACTAAAATACCAGAGAGAGCAAAGAACTAAGAGCAAAGCTTCTTCCAGAGAAGTATTGGCTGGTTACTTTTCAATGCCCCTCCTTGATATTGTATTACAACAAAGAAAAATACTTTGCAATTAAGTGAGTATTTGTGAAAAAGCTATTGATAATTCTGTGTTCAATATGTACAAGCATGTGTGATCTGTTATTTAATTTCCTCAATAGACAGCAAAATGGTTTTCCAGGTTCACCAAAGCATCTTTTTTGGTTCGTGCTTTTTAAGAAATTTCCTTGCAGTCTCTTTTAGAAATTCCATCATTACTGTCAGCAGTAATAGCTTTGATGTTGTTATAAATGTAGTTATTGTTTACCTAAAGCAAATACCACACTGTTGCTATTGGGGTAAACTATAACATCCTTTTGTATAATTTAATCTATATTTATCCATTTCAAAAGCTTTGGAAGAGAAACACTCTTTTACACGAACTTCTTTCTAAAACTTCCATTGTGTTAGAAACAATTTTCAGTAGTTTTTACTGACACAATGCTTCAGTTTTTGAAAATGTACTGAGTGCCACCAGCAACTAAAGGCAGATATTGTAGGTTGTAATCAATGAACTTGTATCACAGTACTTGATGAGGAGTTTTCAAAATAAGTAATAGAAATTCACAACGATTTCTGAGTTTCGATGCAGCATAGACGATGTGGTGTTCTGTGGCAGAAATATCTGCATTTGCTTTCAGTCCTTGATTTCTGTATGAGCACTATAGTTATAACGGTTATTTACTTTTTTCCCTTTTCAGTTAAAAAGGTTTTATCTAGTTCTTTGATTGCTTTAGTCTAAGTTCGGGAAACATCCACTCTTTAAGTGTATACATAATAAATAGGGATTTAGCAATAACATTTTTCATGCATTTTGGTATCAAATATTACCAAATGGCAAGAGCTATCTGTTTGTTAGTACCAGGTATGTTGTTATTGCCAATACTGTTATTTAATCTTTCTCCATATAGCATTTTTCAGAGCAAAAAGGTAATGTCTTTCATGATAGAAGGCAAAATATTACTCCTTCTAAATTATGAGCGACTGAAGTTTGATACTACTGTGAAACATCTTTCAGGAAAAGTCTAGCGTCTTCTACAGAAGTAATATTTATCAATGCCAAATTTCAACAAACCTTCTTAAAAGACAACCCATGGCTTCATATGAATGTTCACTCCAGCTATAACTCAATAAATATTCTGAGGCGATTCTTGATACTGGCATATTTTTGGCACCATTTAATATCTTGAATGTGTGACACCAAAATTACATTTTTACACCCATTTTTTGTGAAGTTTATTCACTGAATCCTTCCTATGAGTTCATTAGGAAGAGCTCTTGCTCAAAATGTTGGGGTTAATCTTTGAAGAATGAAGAAGAAATTAAATAGCTTGTTTTCTTCAGCTCCGATTACCCAGCTAGAACAGTGAACAAACATAGCTGAGACACAATGATTGCTTTCCTACTCAAAGAGCAGTATGTTACTTCCCTTTCACTTCTAATCCGAAAAGTCAGACAAAATATCAAAACAATTTTTCCTCTATTTGGAGGCCAAGCAAAGGAGAAGAACTGCAGTGGAACTTGTAAAACAGATGCAGATCCTCTAGGGAAATGAGTAGTTCACCTTTGTCTTCTTAATCCAAAGATGTTAATTTATTTGATAAATGTCTGAAAGGAGTAGGATTGCATAGTCTGTTACTTTAAAATAGGCACTTCAAGGTCGTAGCGACTCTTCCCTTGATTTACAATCATAAATTGTGTGGCTATCACCCTACAGAGATTATTTTAGCAAATTAGAAGATTTGTTTTTTTTTAGCGTTCGTTACTATGGTTTGGGGGGAAGAAATGACCTTGAAGTGCCTGTCTTGAAGCAGAAACACTAGTGAAGTGTGAGTAAAAATTTTAGATGAAAGAGAAACCTATTTTCCTCTTGGCAAACTAATATTATGTTCATATAATGAGCCATATAATGATTTGATAGCCAAGATATGTATTAGAGGGAAATGAAATAGGAATATCTGAATTTAAAAAAAAAAAAAAAAATTGGACCTAATAAGCAGAGCAACATACACTGACTACCAATAAGTATTTGGACACCTATGCAAATGATGATATCTGCGGTCCTAAGGTACGTCACGGACTCCGCGGTATGTATCGTGTAGGAAACAGCATCGGCTTTAGTCGCATGCAAGATGCCTCGCAGTTCGGAGCTCTCTGATTTCGAGAAAGGTATAATTATCGGGTATCACAAATGGGGCCGATCCTTAAGGGACATATCTAGCGATCTGAAGTACCCAAAATCGCAGTGGCCTATGTGATTAGAAGTGAAGGTGAGCGGTGTTGTCGGAATGTGCCCCGAGTCGGACAGACAACAAACTGGGAGATAGAGACCGAGAATGCTGTCCAGAGAAATTCGGAACAACCGCACCCAACCGATAGCCCTCATCCGCGAGGAGTTTCAACAGCATCCGGGAGTATTGTTTCAATGAATACCATCCGTAAGGAAGCACATTGCTTGGTTTCATGGTCGTGCTGCCGCCCATAAGCATTTGATCACAAAGTCCAACCGCGCTGCTCGGTTAATGTGGTGCAAAGCACATCGAAATTGGACCGTAGATCAGTGGAAACGGGTTCTTTGGAGTGACGAATCAAAGTTAACCCTTTACCGTTCGGATGGCAGGGTCTGGGTCTGGCGTCTACCTGGAGAAGTGAAGTTCGGCGGAGGTGGAATTATGGGCTGGGACCCTTAGTCCCCATTCATGGTAAGCTTAACTCCGATGCCTACTGCACTATTTTGGATGACAATGTGCTTCCTACGCTGTGGCAGTTTTAATTGGTTGTCTGTTATTTTCAGGACGACAATGCCAGTTG